CTAGAATTCTCCAGGCCAGATCGAACTCGCCCGCATGCATGGTTTTCATCGCAGAGAGTTTCTAGCTCTTGATCATGATCATAAGGTTTCCTCTCGGGCATCTAAGCTTCCCCTGCAGGTGAACTAAAGCAACCTAGAGTCTAGATGGTATATACCGGGGTTAGCACTTACATATAGTCTGGTGTGCAACTTACATATAAATGTCCATAACATTTGAGCCCCAAACCCCCCCCCCCCCCCCCCGAGATAATCTATATCATCCTTCAAATAGGGAATCTGTTTCATGATTTGGTACAGGCCTAGGTAGCCTAGGGTATATGAATTTCACTCTCTGGGAGATCTCGAGCTCGCATAATTGTACATATGTGAAGTACCTATAGCTTAGCCTCCCTATAGCTACCTACCTAAGTAAGTACATACTCAAGATTGAGGTACCGTAGCCTGGTGAGGTACCGGTACGTATACCGGGATACCTAGTCTGGTTGGGATACCTACCCCGGGGCCCCATCTCCTTTGCTGTCATTTCTCGAGATCGAGCGTTTCCTGAATTACGATGTTCTTTTAGAGTACTAGCCACCCACGGTAAACTCGTGCTGATAATTTCAAGGTACATGTACATAAGAATGAACCCGGCGTTGAAGTATGAAGTAGGAAGCTTTAGATGTGAACTATATAGTCGATGCATATGCTGTACCATATTTACATTGATGTAGCCCAATCTATTCGAATTCCCAACTACATGTACAAACCAGACTACATGTACAACGTCTAACCGGGCCTCTTACGTGTCATGCATACTTAATTTAACGCACGCTAGACTAAACGTCAAGGCTAGACTAAACACACGACAATAATCTCTTTTCCCTTGTTTGAGGTACATGAAACCTACATAAGGTACATATACCTACCTCCTAGGTACATACCGTCTCAACCTCAGGTACCAATATCAGCGTACGCTCTACCCATACAAAAGAAGGAGGGATTGATATGTAGCTGTCTATCTCTTTCTCATTCCTTCTGGGGCCCCAGCCTGCAGGCACGCATCACATATTCTATATAGAATGGACGCCCCAACCGGCAACCACATACTTCAACCACATACCGGTATTGATATATTCCTACTTGACTAGTGCTCCCTCCTCTTTTCTCAACTGTTCCTCGAGCTCTCGGCGCCTCCAAAAGCACTTTATATAGTACAGTAAATACCTACATACCTACATCCTAAAGTATATACGTATATAAAGTAAAGTACAGAAACAATTGGTAATATATGCAAGTAATTTCACATACAGTGTAGTAGTATTTAAATTTACACGCAGCATGCAGGCAGAAACTAGAAGTGCTCTATTTGAACGCACTCTATGGTACACTCTAGAGTGCTAGTATATTGGCACACTTGTAACCGTATTTAAAACACTAAATCAATATATCCATGCAGGCCATTGCAATATCAATGTATACGTACAACTACATATACATATGTATATATTCACTGATGGAAGTATTAAAACGTTTCCACTTTTATAGTCATGTACCTGGGAGTGCTGTTCTTGTGCCTACTTGTGAACCTTCGGGCCTTATGGCTGTAGCTACCTAAACGGCTTACCCGTCTTAACCTATATGGGCCTTGATATAGGTGTTTGGTGGTTCAAGAATAGCTACTATGTATACCTCTACCAACTCGAATCCCTGTAGCTTGATTATAACATTACCTATGTATTTACCCCCCTCCCTATAATATATATTTATTGATCAATATATATGTAATTTGTATGGTATCTACTCTACTCTACTCGAGTAGATTAATCATGATGGGATCTGGACTCAAGTCACAAAAATTGTAAACGTCAACCACTTACTGCTTCAGGTAGGTCCGTGGAAAAGAGACATATATAGCTATAGATTTATATATATATGATTTAATTTATTCCGTACTACCAGGGAGGCTATACAGGTAGGTACCGGTACCGGTATATATACTATAGCTATACAGGTATCCCGCTACTGCGTCGCGTAAGCCCCCCAGGAGCAGTAACGACGAGCGAAACAAAGCATTGTTGTCAACGCTAAAGCTGCGGTCACGGATGGTGCGGTCACGGATAGCTATAAATAAGAAGACAATACATTGTTTTATATGTTCTCACTGCATCAGCAAAGGTTGTTCTCGTGCAGGTCGAGTTTGCGCTGTTGTTGCTGTGGTGATAACCGCGCCCATTGGAGTAGTCTACTACTACAGCAATAACACTTTTTCAATATGGCGCTGGAGCAACACTCCGCTCAAGGCAGGGCACTGCAGCAACAACATGTGCATAAAATGGCGCTGCAGCAACCTTGGAACAGATTATGCCCTTCTTGTATGACAACTCCAAGGCAGCTGCTGTCAATACAGTAACAATTCTCAACAGAATGGCGCTGTAGCGACAGATTATGCTACCCTTGTCTGACGGCTCCATGGAGGCCACAGTTGCTACAGTGCCAATTGTGACCCATTCATCGCTACAGCAGCAATTCTTGACGGAATGGTACCATATGTCATGGAGTCTTGTGAGTGCAGGAAACACGTGACACTGCCGTCACTAGAAAGATAATCCTACCGGTGTTGCAGCAAATGGAGGCTGCAGCGGGGTTGACAAGAAGGACTGCGCTAGTAACAAGTGGCCGTAGAACACCTTTATATGCTACTGCGGAGTTTTGAACTATGGACCCGGCTTTGATCTCAAGACCCTCCTCACTAAAATACTTCACACTAGCGATTAAAAAAGTCTAGTCTCTTGTAGTTATACCAGAGAACGGAACACTGAGAGACTCACAAGCCACTATCACTGTGACAATTTCTTACATTGTTTTCACAAGACCCGGATCCGTAGTTCGAAACTCTGCGGTATTCCAGCCAACTAACAACATGCTAGTTGATCTACCTTTTGGTGCAACAGTTAGTATGTAATCTGGAACGCAACAACCATAACACTATAGCGAGGTACAGTCATTTCTGGCTATACCGAATGGCATAAATCTGCCCAAATTAGTGCGGTATAACCAATATTCGATATAACAAAAGGAGCTATGTAATGATGGGTGTATCCAAAGTATTGAAGCACACAAGAAGGGGAGCAGTAGGTCTTGTTGTGTATATGCGAAGAAGGTCTTTGAGCAAACCAAGAAGTCTTAAAGCAGAAGGCTTCAAGAAGAAGATAGAGAAGAAGAAGAAGTTCAAGGGGAAAGAAGATATAGAAGAGGATGTGCACAAAGTAATTGAATACACGAAGAGGAGCGAGATTACAGAATCCGAATATAGAGCGAGATCTATGTATGAGATTCTTATTGAGTTGTCAAGTAAAGAACTATATACAAGAGGGGAATGCTTCGAGTTATATACAAGATTGTGCCAAGAACTGAAACCAACAAAATGTGCGAACAATGTTAGCTAAACCTATAATGATTCGGACTTAAAAGAGCAGTCACACGAAGTGCGAGAGACTGCGAAAAGCAGTTCCCTTAACTCTGAAAGACTGTCACACCAATGAAGTAGGGTAGGATAGTGTGGGGGCTAGTGAGGCTTTCAACTGAAGCGACCTTCCGAATAGGGAACATGATTGGGTAATAAGAAGTGGGGTATGTTGGCAGGATTGCGAACCAAGATGCCGAATAGAAACAGGTGTGGGGTGAGAACTAAAAATAGGACTGGTGAAGTAGCTTCGGGGAGTTCGAGAATATAAGCTAGTGGCTTAGTGTAACGAAGCACAGCGAATGTTACAAGCTAGCAATTTGGGGGCAGGAATACAGTAGTTTGGTAGGCACAGCGGGGGTAATTGGTCTCAATATAAGCTAGAGGAAACAGATTTAGTGTAAAAATAGCTGCTTTGTCATGTATATTTGCAATAATTTTTCGTTATAGCAGGTTCTTTTGTATGGTCAACAGGGGTTTGAAGATGAATTTGCTTGTGCAGTGCAATAATTCGGTATATTAAGTAGATTCTGGTGAGAGAAGTTGGACGCAGCAAAAAAAACTATAAAACGGCCGTAATACCAAGGTGTGTGGTATAAAAAGTTTGGTATAGCCAAAATTTACTGTATTATGTCCCCCTCCCATGATGGCTCTCTAGCGGCCGCTATTGCTGCAGGGCCAATTGTGACTTGTTCGTCTAGTACAGCAACAATTCTCAACGGAATGGCATTGTAGCAATATATTATGTCCCTCCCCCATAACGGCTTCCTGGTGGCCGCTATGAAGGTAGACTATTGGTACAGTGCTATTACCCTAAGGCCGTCTTGCCATAGCGCTATGTTGTACGGCAAGTGTTGCTGCAGTGCTATTACCCTGAGGCTGTAACATGCAACAATTTTCTTGCTTAGCACGCTAACCCGATTGGGATTGATTACCCGGGGATTTTGATGAATTAGGCGTCACAACATAACCCATTTGCTTCGCTACGCTGAGCTCCTGGGCATATAGGTATATAGCTACCCCTAGGCCTGATTAATATTAATATTCATCATCCCTTGAAATTCCGTACCCGCGTTCACAGAATGTGAAATTTGGGAGAAAATCTTTTTTTTTAATTGGAAAAAATTTAAAGGTGGTTTTAAAGGATACGGATACTTTTATTTAATTATTATTTGTGGGCGTTTATTATAATTATAAACGTTAACGTTTATCGGGGGTTTTCACGTCATGATCATGCATATGAGTTCATCTGAGGGTAATTAGTCTCATGAGGGTAATTGCTCACGAGAACAGTTAATTGCCTATAATGTGCTTGAATAATTATACGAATTATAAAATCTTAACGGCAGCCTTTAATTAAATTTGTTAAAAATCAAGTCGAAATTTAAATTTAATCATTTATGTCAATGAGGTATGACTATCGCGAGTTAGAGTGTATATACCTTATGTACCTATGTATGCACCGAATAAACCGCAAAAAAAAAAATAAAAATAAAAATAAAAAAAAAACATCACTTCGCCCAGCTGAAACCCCCCACCCAGTCACCAACCCCCAGCCCGCTTGGCTCAATGGCAGAGCATCAGGCACGTGTACACGTGCCTGAAGATCGCAAGTTCGATTCTTGCATCGGGCTTGGACTAATCGTTGGGTCCCTGCTGGCGACAGGGGAGACTCATCGATTGGTCCATTCACTTTTTTTTTTTTTGTCATGAGTTCACCTGAGGGTAATTATAATATTAATATATGTAGATACTATTCTTTGAATATACATCACGTGCACGTGCATGATCGATCTCGAGGATAGTAAAGCTTAAGCCTCCCAAAGCGGTAGCCTGGTGACGTCCAAAATTAAAGAGGCACGAAACTCTCTAGCAGCAATCACAGCTGGCAGTGCCGAATATTAATATTATAATATGGAACTCTCTCCTTAAGTGTTTCCAATTTGTGATCCGAATCTAGCTATGGATTATCCTCTGGCCATGTGCATGCATTGTAACGTTAACGTTAACGTTAACGTTATAAATCCGAGTTCTGAATAGATCTTCCCAATGGTCTGGTGTGTCTTCGAATTCCCAGACTAGTATACAGCTGGCAGCCCCACAGACGCCACGAAAGCCAATTGCAATATATATTGTAGATACACATAATTTATGGCATACGTATCGATACCAGGGCCCTAGGCCTGCCAGGGAAGTATTACCAAAGCTTAAGCCAGGCTAAAGTGATCATGATCATGAGTACAAAAAGGACACAACGTAGAATTTACGTGGCAAATATTTCGAGTCCGATAACCGGGTCCGACCATGTTCCAAGATCTACAAGATCTGATGAGACCACGGTCGGTCGACTATCTACGTAAAACTTAGTATATGTATATACAAGCCACGAGCTCCCAGAGCTCGGACAAGGTTAACTTTCCAGGTTCTATAATTGAAACCCGCCGAGCTCGAATAGCTGTAGTCAGCCTCCTTGCAAGACCCGGAAAACAAACTTACCTACCTACCTAAGTATGTATGTACTATAAACGTTACTAAATAAATAATGTCCCGTTAAATACCTAACTATATATAGGTAGGTGGGAAGTTCTCTGAAACTCTAATCACATACATTGCAATAATCTAGAAAAGCCAACCATGGCCTCGATGCATGTACACTTTGCAAAAAAACATCATCGAGAGGTTTCATTTATTTCTGGATCAACCCAAGTACCTACTTAGGTATGTACCTAAAGTACTTATTTCCTCGGTAACGTTAAATACTAGACCTCCATATATACATACCCATTCCAGAAGAGAAGATTATGTAGGTATACGTACTTAAGTTATAGGATCATGTTCAAGATCCAGATTAGTCTGGTGATCCAGATCGATGGAATATTTAACCCAACCAGCCAGCCAGCCGGCAGCATGGTCATGGTCATGATCATGAGCAAGCTTTCATCTTCAATATAACCATACCATAACCATAACCATAACCATAACCATAAACACAACCATTTAAGTAATCTTCCTAGGCGCCGCCCCATAATTACCTTTCTTTTGCAATGGCTGTACATGTGAAGCTTGCGTTAAAGCTTTATATATAAGAAATAAGAAGAAGTAGTAGTACGTAAGCTAGTAAGCTCCAATTGAACCCATGACCCATGGCATTTAAAACCGTGCACGATGAAATAAAAAAAAACAAAAAAAAAACAAAAAAAAACACAAGTATTTATATATATATACGTATAATTAAGGCCTACCTAGGTAGCTATATATAGTGCTTCGAATTCGATATCGATCTAGATCTAAATCTAAATCTACAATTGCAATTGCACTTAATTATAATTATAAGCCGGCCAATAATTACCCAAGTAGGTACCTACCTAGCTATAGGTATATATATATAAGGCAGAGCTGGCGGCAAGAACGTTAGTTAACCGGGCCTTATGATCAATTTCTCTCTCTCTCTCCATCCAGAGAGAGAGAGAGAGAGATTCATACCTATTATATATTCTCGTCAACTCATTGCTACGTATATATCCGGACGAGACATTTTGGAATTTTTCTGGTGGGCTAATTAATATTCCTAATTTAAAAAAAAATGTCTTTGTCCGGTCGAAACGCAATGAGACGCGCGCGTCGATCGATGGGAGATTCAAGAATCTAGAATTACATTAGCCTGGGTGATCATGAATTACATACCTACCTTACTTAAGACTTAGGTACGTCCAAACCGTACTTCAAGAAATCAAGAGACCTATATTTACAACGTCATACAATATATATCAATATTGCATATCGTGAACGTTACAGAACTCAAGGCCTTGCCTACATCTTCCTAGGTACCTACCTATATAAGACGTGTGATCTCGAACCCCCCCGGTTTTCAGAACTGAATGATTAGACAAGTACCTACCTAAGATATCGATGCGAAATATCTCCATAATATTATTAGAACTACCTAAACCTTAAAGTAACCCCATACCTTTGGTACCTAACATCCTCACTCCCGGATATCCACCCAGGTACGGCCTCAAGGCTACTTATACTTCCCAATCGCCCCCCCCCTTAAGTTATTGAATCCCACATCGAACTAGATGTAGGAACCTAAACCTAAACCCAACGGCAATCCAACCTCCCACGTTAACCTAACACTCAACTCCTATATATATCCATAGTCGTGTTCGTGTTCGTATCATAGGCATGTGGATGCCCAACGCCATACTACCAGAACTTACCCACCTACTTCAGCAAGTACCTACCTAACCTCCATTTAAAATCTCAATATCCCATCCGGAACCCACAAATCAACAAATTATCAACACGCCATTGTCATCGTCCATCTCTTCCTAGTCTTCCCCACCACAAATGGGGCCCGGGGTCATCTCTTAATTTCCGACCTCCTCTACAAACTCTACCAGCCAGTACACCTCCCCCCCCCCACCCCTTCGAGCCAGCCAGTGGACATGTAGGACAGAGCATGAAAGCCCAGAGAAAACACAATTTCCGTAACTTACCGCACCACCGTACGGCATGGATGGTCATTGCGTCGTCCAATATACAAACCAATATTCCGTTTGCAACACAAGTATCATGCCAAAAGAAAGGGAAAGGAAAAAAAAAAAGAGAACAATGTCTCACCTCAGATAGAGTAGGTAGAACGATAGATCGTCAAGAACCACTCGCAACCTGCACCACCACCACCATTATTTCCCTCCCGCCACCTTCCTCCGAGAGGTCAAATCGGAACAATTAAAACCTAAGCCAGTAAGTAAAGCAAGGGCTGCAGCGATCCCAATTATGAACACCCTTAAAAAAACGCCCCATTAGTGGTGGGTGGCCCAACCAACCAGCTGCAGTCAGTTAAAACTAAAAAACGTGATTCAAAATTCAAAATAAAATTCTAAAACATGACGAATGCGTGGCTGAGCGATGAAACAGTGCCACAACCACAACCACCACAACGCCCAAAGCTGAACGTGGTGGCCCGTGCGCGGGAAAAAAACCCAATAATAGGTTTCCATGAACCAATAGGTGAAACCCTTCTCCATCGAAATCAACCACCCAAACAACCAACCTTCAGATTCTTCCTTTCCTTCCTTGACCACCTCCCGCCCAGCTCAGCATAAGCAGGAAAAAGGCAGTCAATGCCCGAGGCAAGACTGGATGGGTAGCATATAGCCAGGGTAAGAGTAAAGTATATGTATGGGAATGAGCAAAGGAGGGGAACGGGAGGGAGGAGGAGGGCTGTCAGCCCGGACTAAGGCCCAGGTTGCATCCAATGCACAAGCGAAAAAGGGTAAATCAATGCGATAAGGGCTGCATTTGGCGTGAGGATAATTATGACAATAAATCAACCCACTGCGGTAGCTTGCCAAGTACAAGCAGTTATTTTATGCATTGATGACGATTGTTGACATGGTGATATCGATGTAGATAAAGTAGCCGATCGATATTTTTTATTTTTTTATTTTTTTGCAGAATGTGTGTGTGCGTCAGGGGGGGGGGGGGGGGTTGTCCCTTTGACTTGGTGATGGGGTGAAGCAAAAAAAGTAAACTAGAGCAGCAGGTTGGGCGGGGAAACGTTTGAGGTTGACTACTATGTTTGTCAGTCGAAGAAGCATAAGATGAGGGGCCACGATTCAAAAAAGCTCCTGATCAAGCCAAAGTCAGATGCTCGATTTAATAGCGGAAAAAGAAAGGAAGGCAGCAACCTCAGAGGCCATTCAAATGACGTTGGCCGGCAGTTTGAATGAATTCTCTGTGGAAGAGTTGAAAGAAGAAAAGAAGGCCCGAAAAGAAGCAATGTGCGACCTCCGCCCATTGTTGGATTTGCACAGCGAGGTGCTCCTCCTCGAGCTGTCGCATATCAGCCTCTCCTTTCCCCACTTCCGCCCATCTTTCTTTTTACAGCACACCGTCGCCTTCGTCACATATCATCCGTCTTGTGCTTCGCAAGTGTTCTTGGAACAGGGGTGCAGGTGTGTGTGTTTGGGGGCGGGCATGTTTCCTTTTTCCGATCGCTAGCCTGACGGGGCATGGGGAGGGGGGGTGATCAACGGTTGCGGGCGAGCGTGGATGGATGAGAGATTTGGAACGGACTGGGGAACGGCAGGGGGGTAAGGAAGCATGCATGCATGAGACGCGCAGGGGTGATGGCTTGTGAAAAGGCCCGGACATGTGTGGTTACAACGATGGTTTTCGTGAGGCGAATGCGGTTGCAGTCTCGAATATTCGGGTCAGAAAGTGGTGGTGAAGGGTGGAGAGTCATTGGGCCGGCCGGAAGCTGTTGTGGAAACAGGCAGCAAACCAGACAGGGATGGTATCGAACATCGATGCAGGGAGGAAGAGGGCGTCTCAAGGTGCCGTGTGTAGGCGTGGGTTGTGTCGACAGTCCAGTCCCAACGAGAACTATAGGGCAAGGCGGGTGTTGGCCGATCTGGGTACCACGGTGATGATGTGGGTGGCAGGTGGACATGGCCATAGAGAATGGGTTTGAGCCTGCAGCGGCGGGAGCATGAGCAGGAGGCTGTCTGATATGGATGAAGCTGGGGGAGGGCAGGTGCTTCACGAGAATACCAGCGTGCATGTGGCCTGTCGCAGCCGCGGGATTCAGGCGGCCGCCGGTGGGCTGTGCGTCCGTGCAGAGCAC